GATTGCATTCGACTTATGTAAGTCGTGTCAACCTTGCTTTGCTGAAAAGTTTAACTTTTCTATTCAGACTAAGACTTCATTCATAAGAAAGCTTAAGTTCTGAGGTCATGAATGAGAAAAATAAGCCGCTTAGCGGCAAGGGCGAAGCCCATGAGGTCATTTATTTTTGTCAGCAGTGAGACCATTCATGATAAAAATAAGCCGCTAGCGGCAAGGGTGAAGCCCATGTGGTCATTTACAATACTGCGATGGTAGAGTTTAAGAGTTGTGCTTCAATGTAGAGACAGTCCTTATGGTCTGGAGGTAAGAACACTGGGCAGTTATGGTCATGAGTGGAGAACATGTCTATCCAAAACTCACGATTGAAGCCAGTTAATTTATAGTATTTAGGATTTGGCAGTGGTGAAGTTCTTGTATGACCAATGAACTCATTTTCAACTCCCTTACTTAAGTTTGAATATAATATAGCTTGCTTTCTATCCCAAATGCCAGGTGTTACAATCTTTGAAAATTCATTTTTCCTCGGAAGCATTGCATCATAATTGAAAACATTCTTGAAATCATCACTTGGTTCAGAGATTTGAAATCTTATACGTAATGGATTTTCTTTCTTTTTAGCGACTTCATTGAATGGTGAGAATACAACAAACTGACAGTCATGTGTTCCATCTTCATTTTCATTAAATTCATAATGAAAGTCTATAAGTTGTGGCTGACTACCTTCTTCTTTCAGTTGTGCAAGAAACTCACGTAAAGGTTGTAAAGTTTGTACTTCAATGTTAAACTTTTTCTCGAACATTTCATTAAATGAAATCATACATTGCAACAATGTTGTATCGTCTTTAAAGTATTTGTATATGTGAATGTTTTGGGCGCTTAAAGACTGTTCGTCATTTTCTATCTCGACTTGAAGTATAAAGTCAACTTTCCTAAATGCACGTGTTATATACATAGATGTTATGCCAATGTACTTCTCTTCATTTATGTTCACAATCCAGTCTGTTGGAAACTTAAACGTTACTCTGTTCCCCTTTATTTTGACGTCAGGGTTTTCACTACTGAACGCAACAGATAAAGGTATTTGTCTATACATTTAGTTTGGATAAAAATAAACCATTTACTCTTTCTTCACTTCAGCTTCTTTAGCTTTTGCTTCAGCTTCTTCTCTAGCTTTTTTCGCCAGTAGTCTTGGGTTCTTTTGTCTTCCAGCAGCTAATGCAGCAAGTTGTTTTTCACTAAGTTTTCTCTTTGGTCTCTCTGGCTTTTGTTCTTGTTTTTGTTCCTTCAGTTCGGATAAAATTTGCTCGCGAATTTCTTTCTTCAATGCTTCAACATCTATGACCCCTTGGGTCTTGTCCGTAGGGCTTGTCTGAGTCATTTGACTGCAGATAAAAAACAAAATTAAAACTTTAACCGATGTAAAATGAGCTTGTCAAAATCAGAGCGAGAGTCTATTATATTAAATGACGCAAGAGGAATACAACATCCTTTCTATTACGTAAGTCAGAGTAAAGATGGTAAAATATATGTAAGAAAAAGAAAGGTTCCATTAGCGAATGCAGAAAGCGACAACATTAAGGTGCATGGCAAGGGTGAAGTCCACGAAGCCCATATAAAACCTTCTGTTCAAACTGAGTCAAAGAACCAGAAGAAAAGAAGCCAGATGTACTTTCAATAACGAACCAAGAGCTTATTGCAAAGTTCGTGAATTTCATTGAAAAACAAACCGAGTCAAAGAACCCTGACCCGCCAGTGAAAGAAGTCGAGACAAAAGAGAATGTACAGTTCATTGAAAATGTCAAGAAACAACTTCCACCACGAATGCCAAGAAGAAGAGTGAGAATAATGAAGTAAATAGATATTTTTATCTGAAGTAAATACATGCAGAACGAACAGCTAAACGAATTTACTCCAGCAGAGCATATTCATCAGATTCGCTCATATTTCGATATCATAGACAATGCAGTTCAAATTGGTGACACTAATAGAAAATATTCTGACGCAAAGATTCCATCACAACCTGGAACTGCTAAAGATAACACATGGGTAACATTCAATCTCTCACCTCCTGGTGAAAATATGTTGGACCTTTACAATACATTCATTACGTATAAAATGGAAGGTCAATTTATTGTAGATAAAGAAATTGGTTCAGGTTCCAATAAAACAAACCCACCAGGATTTTGGATTGGTTTCGATGACGCTTTCTATGCAGTTGCTGGATATCAAATCCTTGCAAATGGTCGTATCGTATATTCTCAAGACAACGCAAGAGAAGAAGCATATATAACTTCAAACTCACAAACTACCGAACAAATAAAGAAAGTAGATGTTTTCTCAAAGACTCGACATGAAGATGTATGGAGTCATTCGGGAACATGCAGAACAGGACAAATTGTTAGTGGTCCAATTACAGCAGGAAAATCATTTGATTTTAAGCTTCGTTTAAGAATTCCTGTTAGAAGATTCCTTCCATTAGAAGCTATTCGATTTATTCCAGCTTTTGCAGGAAACAGCTTAAAGTAAAGTTCAGTAGCGACGCCTTACAATGCACATCTATATCTGTAAATGATATCATTGCTTTCAATCCAACTCTTAAAGTTGCATTTGCTTCAGATTCAAATCCACCGACAAATAAATTTGTTCCATGGAATGAACCATTCACTATGATAACGAAGGCAGTAGAAGCTAGTGGAACAGTTACTATTACAACTGTAAACCAGCAACTATTTCGAACAAAGATGGATTTTAATGAATGTTTCATTCATCCAAAGTCATTCTCTTTAGACCCTAACATTTATACAGAACTTGTAGAACATTATACAAACGAGGCTTTATGTTTTCCTGTTAAAGTTATGGATTGGATTCCTATGGACGGTTCATTCTCAAAGAATACAGATAGTTCAAGTGCAACATTTACAGCAGCTTATACGCCTATTAATGTTAAAAGTATTTGGGCACTATTTAGAAAGAAAGACAACTATTATGTTAATTTTGAGAACCCTAAGTTTAAATATCTTCAGCTTTCCATGGGAGCTTATGGAAATATGCCTGCAGAACCTGAAAAATCATATGGACCTGTATTTTATGAAATGGTTGCGAACGCTTGCAATACAAACAATGATATGATATTTAATGAAGATGTTATGAGGTCATTGGTGGATGATGGTAGTGTGGAACATAAATGGGATAGCTATGACAACACACATTTCTTATGTGGTTTTCCAACAGAAGTGGACTTTTGCTTCCAGCAAGGTCAAACATCTACTGCTCCAATAACATACAAATTGTCTGTTAAAGGACCTATTGAACTAGCAACTGAAAATGTACCAAAGCCACTTATTGGATTTATGAGGGATTGTTGCTTTGCCATTCAGGTGCGTGCTAATGGCATCCCATAATAAGATTAGATGACTATAACTTAGCTACGGACGACAGTGAGGAATAAAGGATGAACGTTTATTTTTAAAGCTTATAAATGAGTTCTTCATCAAGCTCTCGTGAACCTTCACCATCTATGAAACAAACTTTACCAAACAATTATGGAGCACCTATTGAATATTTCTTACGAGCTGCACAATGGCAAAGAGCAGTCTCACCAAGGTTAGGTGTTCCACCAGCTCCTGTCAAAAATAGCATTTGGTCAAGTCCTTATATAAGATATGGTCTCCCACTAGGTTTGCTAGCTACAGCAGGAGCAGTTATGATGTTGAAAAGAAATAAAGCAAATGTTGTAAATAATACTGAAGTAGCTGAAGTTAAACAAACTCCGACACCATCGCCAAAACCAACGCCTTCACAAACAACACCTTCAATGACTCCTGAACCTATGAAAGTACAAACTCCTGTTCAAAAGTCAACTCCAAAACCGACTCCAACATTTAAACCAGAACCTACTCCTCAAATAAATCGTAAAACTCCTGCGTTTCCTTACTGAAAAAATAATGTTAGTTTTATTTTATTTGAACATTTTATTTAGAGTAAAATGACGACTAAAGTCACTGAAGCAATGAAACAAAAGTTTTTGGTAGAATACATTAAATCAGGAACTATTCCAGAAGGTTTTTACATTCATACTATGAAGGATGGTAGAGTTCAGTTTAGAAAGATAAAGCAACCATTAGATAAAGAAGGAATTTTGAGAAAGATTAAACTTCATGAGGACAACATTGCTAAACTTAGGAAGAAGTTAGAAGAGTTGGAGAAAGGAAGAGAGTTATAAAGCAATGAATTCAACAGGGTAGAAATGAGGGTAGAAATGAGGTTAGATCTAACCATCTACCCTAAATTTATTTTTGTGCTATGTTTTCATACGTGTGAGGGTGGTGATATCATTAATTTTTTATTTACTGAAAATTTTTATTTGGATGTAAATGACAGAACAAAAGCAACTCATTCGAATTCCACAGTATAACAAACATACATTTAAACATTTATTCTTCCTTCCTGAGCATAACATGTTCTTTCAAATACATCCGAGACCAGTTGACTTTTCATTGACTGTGTATAAAGATAGAAATAGTTATATCATTAAACCATACGATGACGAAGGTAAGTTATGTAAATTGTACGTTAAGAAGTTAGAGAAAGTTTATGGCTTCAAGTATGACTACAATAGGGTTAACACTGATGATGAAGATATTGAGGAAAATTTATGAGAACATTAGTGAAGTCGTTAGTGAGAACGATAGTGAGAACGTTTATTTTTACATTAGTGAGTTCGTTAGTGAAGTCATTTATGTGTCAGATGGTTTTGTAAATATTTAAGGTTGAGTTGGTGTTATGGTTGTGTGAACGTTAGTGAGAACGTTAGTGAGAACGTTAGTGAGAACGTTAGTGAGAACGTTTATTTTTTCATGCACGTGCATTGTGTCGCGGGGAGTTGCCATGGGCAATGACCTGCGCACAATATATAACGTACAGAGAGGTGAGATGAGGTGGTTTATGTGATAAATATTTAAGGTTAAGTTAGTGTTGTCGTTTGTGTTGTAAAATATATGTTAATGGTTTTGTAAATTGTCAAATTCACATATAATGAGTAAGGTGGAACGCAGTGCCACCATACCCAAGATAACCATACTAACTGTCTTGTCGTTGAAAACTTCAACTGTCTTATGAGAAGCTGAGAACTTTGTAAAATCTTTTGAGATATTTTTTGATACATGACCTGGATCGAATCTTTCAAGATGAGAGACGCCAAATTCTTTAAAGACAGAGACACTTTTGTTATCTCGGTCTTTAATAATCTCTTTAACATCTTTCAAGATATTGTATTTCTTTAATTGCTTCAAGATGATTCGAGTTCCAGCACTTTCCATATTGTTGGAAGCTCCGGAATACTGAGCATGCTGTCTGTTTCCACCAATATGGTTGATGTTCACGCATGCAAGAACTCTTTTTGTGACAGCATCGAGCGCAGTTACTGTACAACTTGGCGAGTTTCGCCTGTGCGTCCATCTTGCATCAATGGATAAGTAACCACTGAAGGACTTTCTCGACAGCATTAGGGAAATACTTTTAAGTCTTCTAATCTTATCGTCACAAAATCTCTGTTGTCTCATGACACCACTCTTCACAGGGGGCTTAGTTCCACAAAGAGAAAGAAAGCGAGCACCTTTTGTATATGGCATTCCGGTCATTATGCAAGCACCAAGCATCTGTCGCGCCGAGAGTCGACGACGTTCGTGGAGTAAAATGTTATGCATTGCCTTTGTTTTCCGTTTTGGGTGAACAATATGGCCCATACAACAAAAAAAAATGAAATCCCGCCAAAAGTGAAAATTGAATAAAAAGTAATAATTAATAAATATATACTATATCATTAGATGAATATTTTGGAATAACATTTTAAAATCGAGGTTTTTCAATGGATAACGGTTCAATCAAAAATTTGACCCCATTTTAGAATCTACATTAAAAATGGAACATTTCTGTCGTTTCAAAATTCCAAAATAACGTTTCTATTCCTCTCAAAAGTAAAAATAAACTTTATTGGGGAAAAAATATTTTTATTTTCCAAAAAAAAATGAAAACCTTAAATGCAAATCTAATTTTGATGCTTTTGTTTGTGATTTTTTGGATTTCGAAAAAAATTTGAAAATTCAGACAAGTTACCATTAACACTAATACGTTTCAGCGAGTCGGTCCCATCAGAGAAATTTTCATAAATCGGCGATATAATTTATTATTTCAGCAAAATATTCTCAGATCCAACTAGAATAAGGTCAAATTATACAAATTTAGCAAAGGCTAGTTATCCTACCTATTCAATTAACTTTAATTTTAAATAATTCAAGACAATTCTCAAAATTACCTTAATAATCGCGTTCTCTTCGCAAAATGACGATTCATCATTCACTACCAGCATAACTGAGGGCTTGTGCTCACAGAATAATACAGATAATTTACTTATTAATGCAAAATTTAGTACCAAAAGGTAATCATAGAAGATACAAAAAAAGTTTCTTTATTTTGATTGCTGATTTTATTTCTTCTAAAATTTACCAAATCTAAAAAATCCAAAATTGAATGCTATTGAATTTCATGTTTATGTAACATATACTATTTATTATATAAGGAATAAAAATTTTATAGTTTTAATCAAAAATAAAGGTGTACTAAATGCATACAAAACAAGGTATTTTTTACTCATCCAAAATATGTTAACAGTGCTATTTATATAATCAATATCCGAATTTCGAAATCATTTTGATGAAATCTTTATTTTAAAATTGAGTTGACTGTTAAAATCACCCGAGAAGAGGGATTATCTCAATGAAAAGTACATAAAATAGCAAACGCACAAGATGGCACTATGCAGCTTTATATTGTTATACAGGATGAACATATAAAATGTTTGGAAAACACTTACTTCGTTCTACAAATGTGTATCTCTTTATATCAAAGATTCTTCTCAAATTATTGAGAGACTTCTCTCAAAAAAAGGAAAATTTGATAACTAAAAAAAATTATGGCATAACCTCTCGTTTTGCATAGATATATATTTACATGGTCACAGAGCTTATTTTCATTGTCAAAACTTAAAAATTTTTAGTGGACTATACCCTTAACATTTTTATGGGTAAACTATTCATATTGAAATTTTGAAAGAAAGTTTGGCCAAAGCATCTCATTCAATTTTCGAAATATTATTTTCGATGTCTTCTCCAATTAACAACTCCAACTATGCCAAGATGACAAACACCAATGTTGTCTACGTTAGAATCGACAAATTCAACAGCGGATCTTTCCTTATCAAAGATAGAAATACTGTTATTGGAACAGTTGGTCCTAGAGGTTCTTTCAGAGATTTCCCAAAGGAATTCTCAGGTGCAAACAAGAAACCAAGTTTATCATGGGGTTTCAAGTACATAAATGCTAACAATGCCACATTTGTTATCGCATTTTACAAGAAGCGTAAATTCTTCCCAGATGATCATATTGGTGAAATAGAACTTAAGGTCTCTGACTTCACACCAAATAAAGTCATCCAAAGAGAATACCCACTTAGAGCTTACACTCACAGAGATATTCCAGCTAAAGTTAAAATTACTGTCCATGTAGACGAACTTGGAGCTCCAGCCTTCAAGGAAACAAAGATAGCTCAATCTAGACCGTTAGATTATGCTTCATTAACTACTTTCTCTCACTAATATCTTTTATTTGTTTGAATATAAATACTACCTTTGTTAGAATTCTAATTCTAATCGCGATTTTGATTTGGCAATGAAATAGTTCAATAAACTTTCAAAATTCTTTATCTTATTTTTTACGTCATTCAATTATAAATGTTAATGTTTTATGAAATGACATCTGCTCATTCTCAACGATTTTTAACAATTCAATGAATAATCAGATTGAATAGTTTACGAATGGTCATTTTATTCAATTGTTAGCTACCAATATTTTTTTGTGTTCTTTGGCCTATTGGCACTAATTATTACTATATTTATATTTCTCAAATGATTTTAGGGATCGATATATATTTATTTTGAATATACATTGTTACAACGATCAAAATAATTTTTGTTTCTTCATTTCAAATATATTTTATGATTTCATTAGAATGAAAAAAGACTTGAAACAATAATTTTCATAATCATAGCTCTCATACTAATGGAATGAATAATAAAGTATATTAATTAATGGTAATAGATTAATATAATGATAGTATATTATCTTGCATATCTCTATATTTTAGTTTTAGAAGTAGTATTTCATTATATTACAAACATTATATAATCGAACGCAAAACTCGTTCGAGACAAAGAACAATGCTCCTAGGAGAGCATCCCATGTGAACAAAATTCTGTGATCTCTAAAATTCCTTATTTTCAAGGACAAAGAATTTCATTCATCAAATCCTTTTTATAAATCTAGAGATTTCTTCTAAAAAAAATTTAGTCAGATTTGAAAAATAGAAATATAATGTTTATCAATTATCGAATACAAATATAAAATATAAAATATAAAAATATTAAAGTAGATTAAAATCTGAAAGCAATTTCTTGTTTGAAATGTTCTCTGCAGAATTTAATCAATACTTTCGCTGCAATAGTCTGATCAAAGTTCTTGACTGGTTCTTGTGCAGGAACGTCGAATGATGAGTTTTCAACTCTTTCCATTCTGTTATCTGTGCGCAGGAATTTAAGTTGTTTGTCAATGTCATTGTTGAACTTTTCTCCAACAATCATGTGTTGTGAATTAGATTTAGGAATGGAACCGCGCTGGAATGGATTGAAGATAGGCTCTTCAATGATCTTCTTGGAGACTTTCTTCTTCTTTTTCTCAGGGGAAAGAGGGTTAAAGTCTCTTCGCTTTCTAGATTTAAGTTCGTCTTCTGAATCATCATCAGCATCAACTGGTCCTGAAACAGATTTAGGAATTGGAGGAGGTCTCTTCATTGGTGAACCAATTGGAAACTCTGGTGAGCCAATGTTATCTGTTCCGAATGGATTGAACATCAATGCATCCTTAGGATCTTCGTGTTTAGTTTCAACTTGGTTGCCAAATGGATTGAAATCTGTTTGTATTGTTCCTGAATATTTGTCTTCGTTTAAGGAATTGAATCCTGCTGGACCAACTGATTTAGTGCGCTTCTTTAATGTCGGAACCTTCTTTGGAGAAACACGATTTGCTGTTGTTTGTGTTGTAGGCATAACAGATTTAACATACTTGGCAAATTCAGCGGGAGTGAAATCGGCTGGAGGCTGAAGATTTGCAAGATTGTCGTGAGATCTGTTCTTTGGAATTGAGTCCATTTGACCTGATGAATAAACTGGATTGGACTGTGTTTGGTTGGAGGAATAAACTGGATTTGATTGTGTATGCAGAGGAACTCCTGAAGAAACAGAACTTTCTGAAATTTCTAATTCAACACTTCGAGTTGCAATTGCATTAGATTCGTATTCTTCATCATCTTTGATGTGAATTGTAGCTGGTCGTGGATTGATGTGTGATGCATTCTCTGTCAATGGATCAAATGCATCTGTTTCGATGTCTTCTGCAACTTCAATTGAAACTGCTTTTTCATGTGGTTCGAATTCTGGATCAATGACTTCAACAATTTCTTCTTTTTGTTTATGTTCTTTATTTGTTTCTTCTTTGACTGTTTCTTGTGTAGAAGCAGCAGCAAATGGATTGAATGAAATTTCTTGTTTTTGTTCTTCTTTAACTGGTTCTTGTTGAGTTTGTTGAGTTTGTTCTTGTGTAGAAGCAGCAGCAAATGGATTAAATGAAATTTCAGTCCTTGGTTGTTCTGGAACTGATTTTTGTTCTTCTTTGACTGGTTCTTGTTGTTGTTGAACTTGTTCTGTAAATGGATTATAAGATAAAGCATCTTTATGTTCTTCAGGAGCAGGGACAGAAACAGTTTGTTCTTGTTGTTGAGGAACTGATTCAACAACTGGAGTTTCTTGAACATGTTGTTCTGCAGCAAATGGATTGAATGAAAGAGCATCTTTGTGTTCTTCTTCTTTGTTTTGTTCTGGTTGTTGTTGTTGAGTAAATGCTGCTGGAGTTGATGTTTCCTCTTGTTGAATTTGTTCTTGTTTCTGTTCTTGTGTAGAAGCAAATGGATTAAATGAAATTTCTGTAGTTACATTTACATTGACTGGTTCTTGTTGAACTGGAGTTGTTTCTTGTACAGGTTCTGGTTGTTGTTGAGTTTGTTCTTGAGAAGCAAATGGATTGAATGAAAGAGCATCTTTGTGTTCTTCTTGAGGAGCTTGTTCAACAGATTCAACTTTTTCTTCTTTAATTGGTTCTGTCTGTTGTTGAGGTGGAATTGTGAAACTGACTGGAGTTTCAAGAGAAATCGAAAACTTTGGTGTTTCTTTAACTGGCTCTGGTTGTTGTGGAATTTCTGCTGCAAACGGATTATATGACAATGCATCTTTATGTTCTTCTTCTTGGATCGGTTCTGGTTGTTGTTGTTGTGAAAATGCTGCTGGAACTTCTTGTTGTGTCTGATTTTGTTCAACTGGAACTTGTTCTTGTGGTTCTGCTGCAAATGGATTATATGAAATTTCTGTTTTAACTTCAACTTGAACTGGAGATTGTTCAATTGGTTGTTGAACTGGAACTTGTTCAACAACTTGTGTTTCTTGTACTTGATGTTCAGCTGCAAATGGATTATATGAAAGAGCATCTTTATGTTCTTCTTCTTGAACTGCTTGTTGTTGTTGAACAAATGCAGATGGAACTGTGACTTGAGGTTCTGGTTGTTGTTGCTGCTGTTCTTGTGTTGATGTAGAAAATGGATTGAATGAAATAGAAACATTTGGTTGTTCTTCAGCAATATTTTCTTCTGTTGGAATTTCAACTGATCGTTCTTGAACAATTTCTGTTTCTTCCTGCATTGGTTCTTCTTGTTCTTGTTGCTGTTGAACTGTTTCTGCAAATGGATTGTATGACAATGCATCTTTATGTTCTTCTTGTTGTTGAACTGTTTCTTGTTTTTGTTCTGAAGCAAATGGATTGAATAAAATCTCTGTTTTTACTTCTGTTTGAACTGATTGTTGTTCTTGAACAGGTTGAGATGGAGCAGATTCAGTAAATGGATTATAAGATAATACATCCTTTGGTTCTTCTTTAACTGGTTCTTGTTGTACAGGAGTTGTTTGCTGTTGTGAAAATGCTGCTGGAACAGAAACTTCAACTGGTTCTGGTTGTGGTGCAGCTGTTCCTGCAAATGGATTAAATGAAAGAATATCTGGATTTGGAAGTTCTTGTTTCTCTTGCTTTTGTTCGTTGGTTTGATTATACATAGAATTATTTGTTTGTTGTTCTTGGACACGTTTTGTTGGTTTAGTTTCATTCACAAATGGATTGAACGAAATTGTTTCTTGTTTCGGTGTTTGATCATCTTCCTTCTTCGGCTGATCTTTAAATGGTGTGAATCCAAGTTGTTGCTTTGGTTCTTCCTTATCTTCATATTCACTAAATGGATTGTTAAACAATGTTTGTGATTTCGAAACATTACTCTGAACAACTTCTTGATCAACTTTTTGTTGTTCTTCAATTGGTTGTTGTTCTTCAACTTTTTGTTTTTGAACATTTGGTTTTTCTTCTTCTATCTTTGGTAATTCTTCAATTTTAGGTAATTCTTGGGATGGAAATTCGTGAGTAACGATATTGTCGCTGATTTCGACAACTAAAGGTTCTGACATCATTATTCCTGAAGATGAAGAAAGAGAAGATTGATGTTGTGGATTAATGATTGCATCAACACTGCCTGCACTTGATGATGAAGCAGGAGCATCCAAAAGAATGTCTGCACTCTGTTGTGCAGTTAAAATAATTGGAGGTTCTGCTTCAACTTCGATTTCTCTTGTCTTAACTCCATCAAATGATGCAACTGAATTTGATTTCTCGACATCAAGAAATTCTTTCGAAACACATGAACTTCCAATTGGATACATAGGAACTGTAGAACTTCCGCCTTCCATTAAATCAAGTAAGCTTCCTGCAGATGATTTAGCCATTTCTTTCTGCGGTCCATTGAATGGATCCATCAATGAGTCATCTGATAACTTCGGTTCTGGTGTACTATTGAATGGATCATACAACTCTTTAGCGAAAGGATTATACAACTGTTCTTTCTGCGGCTGCTGAATCTCAACTTTCTTTTCTTCACGAACTTCATCAACTTTCTTTTCTTCAATTTGTTTTTCTTCAACAGGTAAAGTTTCTCTAAATGGATTATTTGATAAAGCATCAGTTTTCTCTTCATGAACTTGTTCAATTTGTTTTTCTTCAACTTGTAAAGTTTCTTTAAATGGATTATTTGATAAAACATCAACTTTCTTTTCTTCAATTTGTTTTTCTTCAACAGGTAAAGTTTCTCTAAATGGATTATTTGATAAAGCATCAGTTTTCTCTTCATGAACTTGTTCAATTTGTTTTTCTTCAACATGTATTTTTAAATGGATTTATAAATAATCAATTCTTTCGTGAACTTGTTTTTCTTCTACAGGTAATGTTTCTTTGAATGGATTATTAGATAAAGCATCAGTTTTCTCTTCGTGAATTTGTGATTCTTCTTGTTTAATTTCAATATTTAATGATTCTTTGAATGGATTATTGAGTAATGCATCATGATGTTCTTCTTCTTTTGGTTTTTCTTCAACATGATTTTCATTATTTTCAATTG